TTAGCGGTGTCTCTGATGCGCTGCGCCTCGTGCTTCCTCGCCAGGTGTTCTCCCTCTGGCTTCCCATGTCCTGTTACCAGGAGGATTTCTTCAAAGAGTACCTCAAGATGATGGCGAATATTATCGTCCTGAACTTGCTCATCTGTATTTCTCTGGTGTTCTGGATCGTGTCCATGACTGCAAGTACGTACTACGGTGAGTCCAAAGGCCGGGGGCGAGGCCGGCGCGGCACGGGGAGGGGCGCACTGAGCCCCCTGCCCTCCCCTCCCGCCCCTGCAGGCTGGAGGTAGAGGATGGGAAGAGGGGTGTGCACAGCCCCTTCTGGCATCAGTAGAGCTGAAAACCTCAGCGGTAGCTGGTAATGGTTTAAAGGTGTTAACAGCCACTGTACCCATCTTTGCAGCTCTGTCCAGGGATCCCGTTGAACTTGAAATAATGGTATCCTTTGTGATTTGTCTCCCGGAAAAGGAGAGTGAAAGAAAGAGGGAGCTGCTAGAGGTCTTTATGAGGGCAAGTAGTGACAGCACGGGAGGAGCGTGCCAGCTTTCAAAACAGTTTTAGGAAAGCACATGCAGTGTTTGAAGACTAGACTGCAACAACAATTTCTTGGTCAAGGAACAGAGAAACAGGGGAAATGGTGTAAGAGGAGAGGGATTCTCTGTCATAAGTGTATACAGTCAGCTCTGTGTTCTGTTTGGGCAACTCGGGCAGGCTGTGACTTAAATCTGTGTAGTTGTAGGGACAGTAGTACTTTTTGTGGTCTGTAATTTCAGTTCTAGGACCATCTTTACAGCAGTGTGCAAAAGCAGCAGTACTGCCTTCAGCATCAGTTGAAGCCTAGAAGAGTTTAATTGCTCTTCCAGGACAGGTAAGACCTGTCCTTAAGACGTCAGCCAGATTCTTGCAGGAAGAAGAGCTCCTTCTGTGTCATTGCAGTGTTGCTCAGAGTGCCTAGGGATGCGCTATGAACACCCTCAACTGCCTACCATCAACCTGGATCCAGGAGAAGCTAGAATAAATATCCCACCAGTATAAACTGACTTTTGCAGTGGCAGCTGGATGTTTCTGCTCAGTGTTTTTTAGTGCTTTGGGTGCTAGGATGGGACATTAGTTCTGGTACAGCATTAAATCTGTGTTGTCTGGACACTACTGCTTCGGCTTGTAGAGAGATGCCAGACACAATGGAAGGTATGCAGAAGCAGGCTTTACAACCCGGTTCTGTTTGTGTCATTTAGATCTAGGCAAGTTAGATTTAAACACACAACTTTGTGCGTGTCTGATCTCTGTAGGTACAGCTCTCTGGGTTTTTCTGATAGTTAAGATATTCCAGTCCTTGGTATCTAACCTGTTAAGAATTGACTATGTAGAGTGGAGAGGCCTGATATGAAGTAAATCAGGATAGGGACTGATACAAAGGAAGAGACTGCAGACAAATCCTCCTTTTTGTAGAGATTTATGATGGAACAAGAAGGACATAGGACTTCGGTTGTCTGTTTGCCTGAGGCTATGGAAAGACCTTGATTTGAGGAGGTGAATGAAGGGTATAGTGGGAGGCAAATAAATTCAGCCCATGAAAGTGATTAAATTTAGTCCTTAACCATAAATATAAAAATAGTACAAATGTGCGTTTATTAATTTACAGTTTATAGTTCATAGTAAAGCGTGGGCACCAGTGACACAAACGTTGATAAAATGGAAGTGTTAAAGAACCTGTAATAAATCAATAAATGTGTTCGATCTTAGTCTCAACTGCTTACATCTAGTAGTAATGTAGTACTAATACTTCTTTTTTCCCCAAGGAAATACAAAGGGGTCAGTTTAAAAATGACTTTAAAAAGGTGAAAATTCTGTTAACCAACCAAAAACACCCCCTTTGTGTTCTGTTACTGCTCACACTCAAGTTAATATCAGGAACCGTCTTGGTTTGTGGTTAGCAATACCAGACTACAGCACTGGAGATTTCTTCATACATAGCTAGTGCTGCTTTTCTTTTGAGTTTTGAGTCAACCCTTGGCTGCAGGACTCCCTTGCACACCTCCTACAGCATTGCAGCTTTTTAGTACTGTTCTGCTTTCAGGTGGGACAGAGTTCATTTTCTTCCTAGTAGCTTGTACAGTGTTGTATTTTGGATTTAGTATGAGAATAATGTTGATAACACACTAATGTTTTAGTTGTTGCTGAGTAGTACTTATCCTAAGTCAAGGATTTTTCAGTTTCCCATGCTCTCTGCAAGCAGGTACACAAGCAGCTGAGGGAGCACGGCCAGGACAGCTGACCCGAACTGGCCAAAGGGATATTCCATACCATAGGGTGTGATGCTCGGTGTATAAAGGGGGGGAGGTGGCTGGGGGGTGCCAATCGCTGCTCAGGGACTGGCTGGGCATCTGTCAGTAGGTGGTGAGCAGTTGCACTGTGCATCGCTTGTCTTTCTTGGGGTTTATCTCTCTTCTTGTTATTTTCCTTTTCATTACAATTATTACTATATCTTATATTATTTCAATTTTTAAACTGTTCTTATCTCAACCCATGAGTTTTACTTTTTTTTTCTTTTTCAATCCTTCTCCCCATCTCACCAGTGGCGGGATGGGGTGCGGGTGAGTGAGCAAGTGACTGTGTGGTGCTTAGGTGCCAGTTGGGGTTAAACCATGAGAAGAACATGGAAGAGAGATTTTAGTCTTGTGAATTTTTGTGCTTGCAATGACAAGTGTTTTATTGTGAAATGTGTTTGTCCTACTGTGCACTGAGGAACCGGTATATCTGCAAAGCTCCAAGTACTGCTGACACAAAAGTTCTTGTTGAAACCCATCAGGTTTAGTTTTCCAGCAAGACAAGCTGCTGTGCCTGTGTGAAATCTTTCTTCTATGGAATTGAGACCTAATTAATGCTAGACTTGTGATGCCTTATATTTGTATAGCAGATATGATAAATAACTTTTCATTATTTTGTATGTTTTAGCTCAAAACCTACATTAACTATTGGCTTTACTTTTTAAAAGTTTGTGGGGTTTTTAAACAAAAAATGTCACTTAAAATCTTGCTGAGATAGTCATCAACTTAAAGTATGTTTTTGAGAGCCTTACATTAAGTTCAAAAGAATTGATGTTTTAGAAAGCAGTCACACCACTTTTCACCTAATAGACTGTCTTTCTTGTCATTTTTCTGGTAATGAAATTCTGTTAAATAGTGTAGTTCAGGATATAATCAATAGCTTTCTTGTTTCTCTGACTGCAAAAATGGAAGACTTAAACTATAGCATTAAGGAAGAATTTATTCTCAGACTTCTAGTTTTCAGTATTATAGAAGATGTACTTCTGGTGTCTTTGACAATTAAATTTGTGTTGTCCAATTTAAAGTCAAAATGAAGTGATAGAATATAAAAGTTATAAGAATCTTACTGCTAAGGCAGTAATTTGTTGAGTCAGTTTTATGATTAAAATAATACAGCTTTTAACTAGACAGTAATGACTCCTTTATTAACTTTAACTGCTTTTTTTTTTTTTTTTTAATAAGTGCTCTGAAATTTTAGAGGGAAGCAAATATGTTCAGGACATTCATAAATTGTCTCCTTAGATAAATTGCTATGGATACTAGTGCTTTATGGAATGGTGTGGAATTAGGACAGCTAGGTGGGTTATTGTTTTCTTGTTCTGCAAGCTTGTTTAAATTCGTATCATAGTGATTTGAATGACTAAGGGTAACAAACTGGAAACTCAAGAAAAAGATTTTTAGAAGGTTCTGTAGATATTTTGGTGAGAGAATAGCTTATTTTTTTTGTATTTTGTTTCTAAAAGTAAGCCATTTATAGTTTTGACAACCAGCATTTTTTTGTTTGTGAGTTATTCAAGTGGTCTGTCTTGGCAGTTTAATAACTGTCAGTGAAGAATATAATTAAAAGCCATCCTTTCTTGTAGTAAGTTCTGGGTTTGACTAATTTCCAGTTAAATATTTCAAAACATTCTAAGTTGGGTTTATTTTGTGAGTAACAAGGAGGATAACAGTTGAGCCATTTTTGCAGAGATGTTAATACTAGACCTGAAATAATTTATCTTCAGTTCCCAAAAAGCAGTATACTTTCCAAATACAGAAGCTTTGAGTATATAGAATTGCTTTCATATGAAAGCAAGGAATCAATAGATTAAAACCATGCAATATATTGCAATTGTTAGCTGTGTGAGAAAACCAATAAGCTACATTCAAATATTTGAATAGCTGTAACACAGGAAGATCAGTTTGATTAAATTATGTTGACCGATAAAGAGGAAGCTGTCTTATTAATTTTGCCACCCATAAATTCTGTGCTGTTTACTTAGCAAATAGGTGAACCTAAAAATCCATACTCATGTTAAATCGCAAGGCAAGACTTGAGTAATGTGGCAATTCTACTGCAGCTGCTGCCACAGAACAAAAATCAGTGGAAAGGATTCCCCCACTATGTGGGACATGTTATCTCCTAGAAGGAGAAAGGTATGTTCTAGGTTAAATATTTGGTTTCAGTCTATGGCAAATACACCATGCTATGAAGACAATAACTTCTCATGCAAACATGCAAGTGAAAAGAAAATCTTGTCATTCAGTGTGGTTGGTTGTACTGTTCTAGATAAAATTGAGAAAAAAATAACAGGGAGGACAGCAGAATGCACAAAGGGAAAAGGATTAGTCTAGAGAATCCTCAGAGAAGAAAACATTTTTGAGTAACGTATTGCAAGACATGAAATTGTTGCATGCATCTTGACATGAAATTGTTGGATGCTTTTCAGCAAGTCTCTGCAATGCTCCAGATCAAATTGTGCAGGTAGTTGTCTATACTGCTGCCAGGTTGGGAGGAGACTGTGTGTGCAACCATGTGCAGTGGAAAGGAACTATGCAAAGCGAAGAATAAGGAGATTAAATCACCTGTGATTCTCAGATAAACCAAATTTTCTGTAGATTAGAGAAACAAACAGGATAAAGAGAACTGTACTATATTACTTCAGGTTCATTTGAGGATAAATAGGTGGAAACCCGACTATATAACACCTGATTTATGTCACATGGCTTTCCTTAAATGCAAAATTTATAGTGTATGTTGTTCTTTCTTTAAAGAGTAATGATTTGGGGAACCCAGTGGCTTGCTGAAATTTCAGTTTTCTAAGTGTTCCCAGTTACCTTTGCACGTTTCTAGGACCAGCCTTTTGGTGAAAAATTTAGGGTTAATAAAGTCATGAGAACATCCACTGTAAAGCTAATGGATGTGTTCTCAGGTCCTGAAGGATGTAAATTCTCACTGAGACATGGTGGAGAAAGGGACCCAAGAGCTTGGTTACCATGGATAAAGGCAATCAGATAGTAATGCAAGAGAAGATGATGAGGAGAGCAGGGGGCAGTGGGGCAAATATGTTTTACACCACAGCTGTCTGCAGTTGATACATTGCATGACTGAAGAGGTCAGTAGCCTGGTTCAATACAAGCAGGCTGTTGGGAAAGGTGAATTACACCATCCAGGTTACTTTATAAATTCTCCTCCTTTTTTTTTTTTTAAATGAAACACCCTTCAGTCAGCCAAAAAAATCAATAGATTGTTGGAAGTAGTAAAATCCTAGTGTCTCTCTGCTTGCAGTCATCCCATTTCAAAATGCCCATAGTAGAATTAGGGACAGGGAAGGCAGCAGGGATGATCAGAGCAGGTAACAGCATCCATCTGAAAAGGACGTATATAGGTAAAGGTATTTCAGCATAGAAAGGGGACATCTATATAGGTCATGAATGGCAGGAAGAACATGAGTAGGAAATCATTATTCAGTTGGTGATAAAATTTAGCACGTCTGGTGAAACTTGAGGCAGCAGAATCTTTATTTGACTTTTTTAAAGGCCTTTTTCAGTGCATCTATAACCAAAATTCAGTTCTGTGGGTGGTTGTGGAGATGAAAATGATAACTATTTTAAAAAATGGATTGGACAAATATATGGGGGGTTTTAGAAATGCCAACACAAAAGTTCCCACTAAAACAGGGAAGACCAGTCTGTATCTGTTCTTTACACTCCTTTACACATGTGCAGCTCACCACTGCCAGATGGGATTCTGAGTCAAACAGATGTTTGACTTGATCCAGTTTGGAAGGCATCATATTTTCAACCAATTATAGTGTGGAAACAATCAGGAAGTTTTGGATACCAAGAAAAGTGTTTCTTTGCTAAAACTGTGAAAGAAGGCCAAGCAGCTAAACTTCCTTTCTCACATCAGTGTAAATAATCAGTGATGCTGTGATTAAACTGATAATTTGTTCACAGACCAGCAGAAGGACAGAATCAGTGTACAAAATAAACATATATATGAACTGTGGGACTTCCTTCTAGTTTTATTAGATAACATGAAATATCACTGTAGCTCGGCTAAGCACTTAAATATATTACAGAATATGTAAGTTTTCCAAACTAGAATAAAAAGGATATGGTAGAAACACAGAATATGTAGAAACACAGTCATTAGCTAGCTTATATGCTAGCTGACATCCTCTCTCCGCATAGATGTGATACTACTTCTTGAAGTCTTCTGTCCGCCTAGGAGCAGCAGTTCTGTTAACACAGTGTAAAATTCTAATTGATGGTGTAGACAACAAGTCACAACATTAGGTACATCCTAGGAATAATTCAGAATACACAGATGATTAAGAAAGTTGCCTGCTTTTCATAGCCAAAAGCTAACAAGCTAAAGCTTTTGATAAACAAAAATTACTTTTCCTAAAAACTGGTATTTGGGATGGCTTGAAAAATAAGGTAAAGCTTCCAATACATTGTTCTAATTTTCCTTCCATTACAATGCTAAAAAGCATTAGTGACCAAAGACAGTGTTGTTCATTCCTTTTATTGCTGCCATATTTTCTGAAACTTCATCAAAAAAGAATCATAATAAAAAAATTAAGATTTGTTGTTGTAGTTACCAGAGAATCAGTCACGGCATAATCTATGAGGGAAGCTCTTGCACTAATTTATTTAGTTCAAGTTGCTTTGCAGTCTCTTTACATGTGTTGTTAACTGGTTAGTTTGAATCTTACTCATTTGAAACTGAAGTCTGTGTAACTTATTGTGGATGTATGAGTTTGTTTTTTCTAAAACCTGAAATTATTTGTTCGAGCCAGATCAGGTTTCAGCTGGTCTTGACATTTTGATTTAAATTTTTGAAGTTTATAAATCCCTTTTAGAATGGAAACTATCACCATGTTTATTTCTTGACACATTTGATATTTGTAATTCATTTTTGTTAATTCACTGTATTTTCTTTTTTTCCTATGGATGCTTAATAGAAAAATTGAGTAGATAATTGCAAATATTTTGGTATTCCTTTTATAATAATTTATTTTTTATAAAGAGTAAAAAGTTTAATCTCTATTAAGATGATATTTTTAACATATACTAGAAGATAATTACCTTTAAGATATAAAGGCATTAAAAAGGCTTATAAGGATCATCTGTAACCATTTTATTTGATTTATCAGGTACTTTGCGACCCATTTCTCCATGGCGCTGGCTTTTTTCAGTCTTGGTTCCTCTAATGATTGCTACACAGGGTTTTAAGAAGAAGAGTCTTGATCACAGTGGTGCGTTGGGAGGTATGTTTTTTCTGAGACTATTCAGCAAAACATTTAATAAACTAAATTAAGGTCCTTTTTATTGTACATAATATTCTTTTAAAACTTTCCTTCCTAGTTCAATTATAATAAAAGTATAAATGTAAGCATGTATTCCCTGAATTCATACTGATTTTTTTTTCTCACACCTGTTTAAATAGTCTGTTTGTAATTAATTTGACTAATATTGTCATTGGATTTATATAATCCTGTAAGATTGTTTTAAACTTCAGTACAGCATGCAGTTAAATCACGTTTCTGTTTAACATATAGATTAATTCACATAGAGATAATGAAATGACAGAGACAGTGATAAAGAAATACCATAAAACTGAGCTATGTCAGCAGCTTACCTTCCTGATAGGAAACCAGTAAAGGTAACATAGTTCTCCTTTCTGTAATATGAGCAGTTCCAGGCATTTTTTTGTCTCCCAAAACCAAGAAGAAAATTAAATCTGTGCTTCAGTGCAAGAAAATGACTGTTTCAACAGAGTTTTTCTTGACCACGTGAAAAAAAGCCCAAAGTAGTGTACAATAGCATTCCTTGGAATCTGATGCAAGATTTGCATGTGAGGTGATTCACCCTTGTCTTGTGACACTGTCTGAATTGACAGTTGATGGAAAGAAACAGGACCTCAAATCCCTTCCTCCCATGTCACCCATTCTGGAAATCTTGTTCTGTCCGTGAGCTAAGGGAAATATTTTCTAAATTTAAAAAAAAAAAATATCTTTGCTGCTGTGTTTTTGCCTCTTAACATAACAGCTCTGCTAGCCAGTTTATACTGTCATTTGCTTGAACTGCAGCTAATTTTCTTCAGTCGTGAAGAATTGTAATTTTATGGGGGGCAGTGAGAATTAGACCTTCCCTGTGAAAGAAGAGAAAAAAGAAGCACATCTGGGAGCTCAAATACTTAAGAAAATTACAGAAAGACAAAGATGGCATAAAAATCGTTGATGGAAAAAGAAAATTAATAACAGGAGGGAGTAGCAGCATCAGTTAAGATATGGAGGAGAGTTATCTAGGTTATCTTAGATGTTGCGGGAGGATATCGGACTTGCACAACTCTGAGAGTTATATCCTGTACTGTAAAGTAATTTATTTTTCTAATAGTACATACTTATGCTCTCGCTAAAGCTCTTACTTCATAATTAGCAAATCAGCAATTAGACAGCTATCAACCTTTTCTCCTGTCAGCGTAAGTGTTACACGCTCTGTGCAGACCAATCACCTTCTTGTTCACACGGCGGTAACTTCTCACAGTTCAGTACTTTTCCACAGTTCAGTGTTGCAGCTGTTGGTTGTTCTTCCCTGGCACCTTGGAACAACTCAGCAGTTTCTTATCTTTTTCCCAAGGCCTGTTTCTCATCAAAATCTAGCTGCTTCTCAGAGGTTGTGCAGGGTTGACAGGCCGATGTCTCCCACATTAGAGACCTCGGGGGAGGAATTTGATGCCTAAACTGAAGATAAACTTGCTGATATAGCCACAGCTGTATATATGCTGCTTATACAAATAAACACATTCTTCAGGCAAAGTACTTAAATTTCTATTATATATTCTTTGGCTTTTTTTCTTCTTTTTGTTGTTCTGTCATTTATTTTTGGACAGTATTACTGATTTGTGGCAAGAGGTGGTCTTAAAAATCACATGCCTTAGCAGTAACAATAAAATAAGCTATTTAAGAGAAATATAATTTAAGAGAAAATTATAAAGGTAACTGATATTTATTTTTTTTTCGGTCAAGATGTCTGAAATTCTCATACAGGCATTGGGCACTTCAGTAATTCTTTTACTGCATGATTGTGTTAGTTTTGTCATGAAGATAGTCTTCATATTCAAGAGATTCAAAATACTTTGCTTTGCAAAGCAGTCATTGTTACATGAAGGAACTTCATATACTTTTTTGCTTTGTAGGATTGGTGGTTGGATTTATCCTCACAGTTGCAAATTACAGTTTCTTCACCTCTTTGTTTGTATTTTTTGTTACTTCTTCAAAACTTACTAAATGGAAAAAAGATACAAAGAAGCAAATAGATTCAGAATACAAAGAAGGTAAGCCATAACATTTTTATTCTTTCAGATCCTTTGTGGAGAATAAATACTGTATATTCCCCTTCCGTTCAAAGGCTCAGATGAGATGTAATATCCAGAGTAGGAAACACTGCTGCCATGCCTCCCCTCCATTCCCATCCCTGTGAACTTAAGCAAGGGACTTGCCTTTTGCTTCTGTTCTATTTAATAAATTTCTATCTAGTTTCTGTTTTGAAAGTGTGTCTTTTTAAATTTGACTTCATATATATGTATTTTGCTTTTGTCTCATGCTTGTTGCCAGTCAAGATATTTTGCCTTCAAATACTATAATTTAGTTTTTGTCACTTCAGGTGGACAGAGGAATTGGGTACAAGTATTCTGTAATGGTGGTGTTCCTACTGAGCTGGCTGTCTTATACATGATAGAAAATGGACCGGGTGAAATTCCTATTGACTTCTCAAAGCAATACACAGCATCATGGATGTGCTTATCCCTTTTGGGAGCTTTGGCATGCTCTGCTGGTGATACATGGGCTTCGGAGATTGGTACTGTTATGAGTAAAAGCAAGCCAAGGTTGATAACAACCTGGGAGAAGGTTCCAGTAGGTAAGGTGTTACCTGTACCACATGTTCTTAATATTTTGCTACTCTGTCTTGAGTTATGCATCCAACTTGAAAAGTTCAAAAAAATCCCCAGAAAAACAAACATCAGAAATCTCTGGTTAAAAAATGTTAGTAACAGTGCATTCTCTGAAATGTAACATATACTCAGTTGTGTTTCTGCTGTATCTCGTTGTTGAGCTACACCATTATAGCATCCAGGGAGCTAAAATCATTCTTAGTGAATGCTGTCACTTCTCATCTCTGGCACTACTAAAAATTTTTATATTGCCAATAATATAAAGAGTACAAGTTATCAGCTGATTTCTTCAGCCATTAAAATTTTAATCAGTAGAAGAATATATATATTCAATACAAATGCTACAAAAAATTCACAAACAAAATGCTCATTTCCTTTAATATCATACCAAGGGTGGGTGAAGCAAACCTTCTGTCTGTTAAACCTTGTCTAAACGGTGGATGGCATTAAAGCAGTGTGTCTTTTTTGAGTCTTACTGGCATGTTGATCTGAATTTAGATCTTGTGGGATAGGATTTAAATGCAGGCATTTTTTTTTCCCCTTAATAAGCATTCTTTAGATTTTTATTCACTGAACTGTTAAACATTTTCCTTTCTATGGGTTTTGTTCTTTCTTTTAAATGTGCTGGTGAAATATGTCTTGGTATACTTTTGAAAGAGTCACTGCTTTAATAACATGCATATCTCAAGCTGGGGTTTTGGGTTTTTTTTTGGGGGGGGGG